TTTGATATATCTTTCTCTTAAAAAAATATACTTTATTATCAATATAAACTTTAAATAAAATCATCAAAAAATATAAAGCAAGTAGTCCCTTAATGAACAAGTTATATCATCATCTCAAAGGGGGTTTATAAGTAGTCAGCGATCACAGAATCTAAAACCCGGAGAGTTGGTGTTTGCACTGCAAAGGTTGAGAAATCGAGCATTCTTCTTTCATTCCGCAAGATGTCCGTCGTTGCATTGGTAAGCTTTTGAACTTCGTTCTAAATTTGATTTGTTGAGTTCTAAGCCTCTCAAGGGATCTGCTAGCCTTATATATTCATTGATCCTTTAATGATTTGCGGGATAAGTCTCTTATCGAAGTGTGTGTCTCATTCGCTTTGGTCGTCTTAACCTAAAATCATAGGGCCAAGCTATGTGCGACTTGAGTGATCATGATCAGAAACATGGATTTGATTTAGGAGCATTAGTCGGAGACTTGGCTTTTGAAGAGGATTCAGGAGGCAGGTAACGTTCTCATGTTTTTTTTTTTATTGTTCTGATTAGAATGATCACCTTTGATTCTGTTGAACTTCATCATATCGACATTACTCTTTTCAATTTTGTTTGTTGAACAGTGAGGATATATCATTGGAAGGGCTTCAACAAGAACTTGAAGAATGTGAAACTGATGAGGTTAGCTATTCTCATAACTGAAATTATTGAAGCACCTCGGTTTTTTTTGTTTCAAGTATTGCTCATTATGCATAGAATTTTAGATCCAGTCCTCTCTATCTTGTTTTTGTGTCAGCTCAGGTTGTCGCCAATATACTATCCAATGGTGACAAACTTAGAGAATATGCAAAAGGTGTAGAAAACAATCTACTCAAGGTTGAATTGGATTCAGTTCAGGTTGCTATATTCTCTTACCTGTGATACATTGTGGCACTTGTTATTTTTCACTTTTTCTGTAATATATTTTGTCCGTCTATAAGTTTGGGAATTTATTTGGTCTTGTAAGGAGCTTACTTAAATGCTTTACCCTCCATGAATCCTCAGGATTACATAAAAGAAAGTGACAACCTCGTCTTACTTCACGATCAGATTCGTGACTGTGACAGCATCTTGTCACAAATGGAAACTCTCCTCGGTGGATTTCAGGTATTTGACAATTTACATAGTTTTTGTGTGTATGTGCTTCTTTCTCCATATATCAGGTTAGTGGTCTCTGTATTTTCCTTTTAATCTAAATGCGCTCTTTGCTTCTTCTTTTCTTTCAGGAAGAGATTGGTTCTATAAGTTCAGACATAAAGATTCTTCAAGAAAATTCAATGGACATGGGTTTGAGACTGAAAAACCGAAGGGTATAGCTAATCAGAAACCACTATTAGTATTACCTTTTGCTGCTTCCACTCATGACTCATCCAAATGAGCTCTTCTATTTGAACAGGTGGCTGAATCAAAGCTAGCAAAATTTGTCGAAGACATTATAGTGCCACCAAAGATGATATATGTAATTGTTGATGGAGAGGTATTTTTCAAATTCCCGCATTTTGTTTTATGTTGCTTTGGTAGGATTGCTGAGGAAGGTTTTTACTTCTAATCTGATAATCTTGATATTTTCCTTATTCAGGTGAATGAAGAGTATATCAAAACACTTGAGATTCTGAGCAAGAAGCTGAAATTTGTAGAAGCAGATCAAGAAGTTAAAAGTTCCAAAGCATTAAAAGATGTAAAGCCTGAGCTTGAAAAGCTCCGACAGAAAGCTATTTCCAAGGTTATTAATCTACTTTCTCTGTCACTTGATCCCAAACAATTATGTCTTTGTTTGTTCTCTTCCAATGCTGAAAGGGCATGCACGTCGAGGGAGCAATTCTAAAATCTGTTCTCATGCAATTTAATTCCGTTATGCAGATTTATGATTTTATTGTCCAGAAGCTTATAGCCCTGAAGAAACCAAAAACAAACATTCAGATTCTTCAACAGAGTGTGTTATTAAAGTACAAGTGAGTTATGCTCTCTCCTCTCTAAGCCCCTTTATTTGGTTTTACGTAGTGAAATTACTATTGGACAACATTTCATGTCTTGCATGTATGTTTCCACGCATTGAATGTTTTCTGCATATATGTGTATGTGGATCCATACTTCATTTACCAATTACATTTTAATGATAGGTATATTATCTCCTTCCTCAAAGAACATGGAAAACAAGTGTTTATGGATGTCCGCGCTGCATATATTGATACCATGAACAAGGTGAGGTGACATGAACAAGTACTAGCTCTCCTTTTCTTGTATTCTCACTAGAGTTATTGAGATATACTGCTGTATGTTAGCTTAGACTTCCAATTGTGGTTACATCTAATGTAATGTGAGATCTGGTTTCAGGTGTTAAGTGCACATTTTCATGCTTATATTCAAGCATTTGAGAAATTACAGATAGATATAGCCACATCAAATGACTTGATTGGGGTGGAGACTAGAAGCAGTGGCCTCTTCTCAAGAGCTAGGGAGCCACTAAAGAACCGCTCTGTCGTTTTTGCTTTGGGTGAGAGGATAAAAATTATAAAGGTAATTCATTATCCAGTGATTAAATTTTTTCAGACCATTGAGCATGATCTGGCGAATTAGTTACTCCTACCTACGTTCACATGACATGGTATTATATCGCAAAAGTTTGTTAAAAGACTTAAGTTTCACTATGTCTGATGTAGGAAATTGATCAACCTGCATTGATCCCGCACATTGCCGAAGCCAGCTCGTTCAAATATCCTTATGAAGTGCTATTCAGGAGTTTGCACAAGCTACTTATGGATACAGCTACTTCTGAGTTCTGTTGATTTTTCCCCTTTTATATTTGTGTTATTGTTGCTCACCGCTCAAACCTTCTTATTAACGTCATTTGTTTCATTTTTGACAGGTATATCTTTTGTGATGATTTCTTTGGTGAAGCGTCTATATTCTATGAAATTTTTGCGGGTAATTTTTAATCTTTCCTCCTTTTTCTATACCAAACTATATAGTTAGAATAGTTGTTACAAATTTGATATGGTACTTGAGTAGTGTGTAAGAAATTTCTTGTCTTCTTCCGGATAAAAAGTTGAATATTAGCAATTTTTTGCCTGGATAAATTCTGAATTCTCCATGATACAGGTCCATTCTCTGTTATCGATGAGCACGTCAATTCCGTCCTCTCAAACTGTTTTGATGCTATCGGTCTGATGCTTATGATTCGCATTATACACCACCACCAGGTATTAACTATAACCCAATGATTAGTTTTAAGTGTTTTAGTGAATCTCTTGGAATCAAGTAATTTAGTTAGCTTCCCTTTTGCATTTTTGAACTCACATTCGTATGTGAGAATGCATTAGAAATTAGTGGTCCACTCAAGTATGGTGATTCAAGCCTATTGCAAGGGTGATGATTGTTTATTTGTCCACTATGTGTATTAAGCAATGCTTGTCACTTTTTCACAGCTTATCATGTCTCGCCGGAGGATTCCATGCCTGGATTCATATCTGGACAAGGTTTGTAACTCCTTGTCTCTTTGAGTCTGTTTAATCTACTCTTAATGTATATGTAGTTGCAGTTAAAGAAGAAACTAAACCCTTGTATAACTTTGAAATTCTTGCATAGATTTTAGATATGAGCTCATAGATGATTGATTTCCTTAGTTTCAATAGTCCTCTCTCAATGAGTCTTTTACATTTTTCAAATTGAGCAGGTTAATATTTCTCTGTGGCCTCGTTTTAAGATGGTGTTCGACTTACACATCAGCAGTCTGCGAGATGCAAACATAAATACATTATGGGAAGATGATGTTCATCCTCACTATGTCATGAGGCGTTATGCTGAATTCACGGCTTCGTTTATTCACCTGAATGTTGAATATGGAGATGGGCAGGTTTGTTATAAGCATTCTCTCTGTCTCATATGATACGCTTGTCACTCAAAGCGCTTGACATTGTCTATGAAACTCTGCAGCTTGATATAAATTTGGAGCGTTTAAGAATGGCAGTAGACAGCTTGATTCTTAAGCTTGCAAAGTTTTTCCCGAAGCCAAAGCAGCAAATTGTGTTTCTCATAAACAACTACGATATGACAATTGCTGTGCTGAAGGTGAGCTGAATCCTTAGCCGTCTCATGTTAAGTCTACCCGTGTAGACCAATCAAATTTTCTATGAATCTTAAGTCATATCTATTGTTGCTTACTTTACCAGAATAATCTGTTTTGATCATCTTCATCTATTCTAGGAAGCTGAACCAGAAGGTGGGACAATTCAAATGCATTTTGAGGAATTGCTAAAGAGCAACACTTCATTATTTGTGGTAAGGGACAATATTATATTTCATTAATTTTTCGAAGTCATGCCTTAATTTGCTTCATGTGTATAACATAAACCTGGCTTTGTAGTAGCCTAACCTTAAATTTGATGTCAACTCGTAGGAAGAACTGCTGGTGGAGCATTTCTTTGATTTGATCAAATTTGTGAAAAGTCGAGCCTGTAAGCACTTTCTTGTATTTTCTTTCTTCTTCATGCACTCATCGTTTGTTAAGTCGAATAACCTCTGAACTGTAAAATATGTAACAGCTGAGGATTCTAGTTCAAATTTAGAGAGGTCCATCACAGTTGCTGAAGTAGAGCCGCTGGTGAAAGACTTTGGAAGCACAAAGATATCATAACTTCATTCAGTAACTTCTTCTGTGGTATGGATATTTTGAAAACTGCATTGACACAACTTTTGCTCTATTACACAAGACTCACAGACTGTGTAGATGGTGGATCTGCTCTGAACAGAGATATTGTCAACTATCAAGCAATCTTGTTTGAGATCAAGAAATACATCAAGACTTTCTGAAAGATAACATATGTGCCTCCTTGTGAATAGTATGTATTATTATTCTAATGTCTTTTGCTACTCTTATCCCATTTTAGTCTCGGTGCTTTTCTCAGCCTGAGTGTATTGGATAATTTCATGGGAATTTCCACAAGGAGTGAACAGAGGAGAGCAGTTGCCAATTGCTGCAAACTGATACTCTTACTGGTAAAAGTTGAAACTTGAAGTTAAGTTACAGAACTATGCAACAAAGAGTCCTCTTGAGGGTCATTTCAGTAACCGATTTCAAATCATAAAGCGATCAATATCATCAGTAGATCAGATCTTAGATACTAAAAACTTAAGCTTCCCTGAGTTTGCCTTCAACGACTACTACTACTAGGCAGTGAGAACACCAAAAAATATACTTTCCCATGGTTGAAAGATGACCCTTTACAAAGCATCCTCGTGATAAAGATGAAGCCCCAATCCAAATCTTGCACAGGCACGGCGAAATGCCATTGCTTCCGCCTTTTGCACAGCATCACCATAGCCTTTGTCATCTACAGAAGTGGTCCCTGTTGATTCCCTAAATATCTTCACAACACAAAAAAAAAACAAAACAAAATGATTAATTAGCAAATGATTTCAGCTTACAAGTAAAACAATGAACACATAATATGCTCACCAAAGTATGCAAGAAAGCAAATCACTAGCATTTTTTACCACCGAAAAACAGGTGACACCTCCCTATTCACAAGTGCTATCATCTCTAAGGTTTATAAGTACTGATAACAGAATCTATAACTCGGAGTTGGTGTTTCTCCAGAGTTGATAAACAAGCTCTCATTGATTGGACAAGTCAAAAGTAGACAAACCAAAAGAACAACAATATTTGCAGCTTCTCGGATAAGAAGGCAAAGAACTCTACCAGAGACCATTAAGCTAAAGGCTAATCAAATCAAACCATAATATTTAAACAGGAGGGAGGGAAAAACCTCAGCATCAGTGCCGTAGAGAGTCACACGATAAGCCACAGTGACAGTTTTACCATCAGGAGAGTAAGTGACACTTCGAACTTCTCCTGACCATTCTGAAAACAGAGAATCATAGACAAAAAAATGTCAAAACCAAAACCCACAACATGAAGAACAAGAGATCATCAAATCGAAGGATTTAACAGACCTGGAGCATGCATATTCATGATCCGATTAACAATGTGCCTGAGAATCAACACAACAAAGTATAAGTACAGACCCAAAAAAAAAACAAATTTCAGTCTCTCAAAACCCCCAATTAGTACCATGGGATGTATTTCATGGAGAAACCATCTTCAACTCGAGTTCGGATGACGGAATCTGGAACCTTTTTGTTAAGCTCCTTGAGAATCTCAGCGAGTGGTCTACTGATTCCTGAAGTTGGAACATCGTTCTCTGTTTCAGTAGAGAAGCGACGAACACCCTTCCCCATCTCCGACGACCATCCCCTCGATACAGTAGCTGCTCCGCTCCTCAACATCCATTTCGCCGCCTTTAGCCGTAACCCTAACCCCGCCATTACAATCGCCGGTCAAAATTCTTAAAGGTCGCCGCTCCTTTGGTGTATCTTAAGAAGATCTTAACAAAAATCTTAAGAATAAAATAACTAAAATTAAAGCAAAACAGAGAAAAATACTAAGAATTTTTGGATTTGTTAAGATGTCGTGATGTGTCTTGTTGTGATTGGTTCAGCAGTAATAACAAAACACCCCTGTTTTTTTCTTCTCCATGGCGGTCTATTCAGGCCGGCGACGACGACGGTGAAGAATTGATTAGGTCTCTTTCTTCTTCTTCTTCTTCTTCTGGGCCTCGCTAGACCCCAAAATCGATTTGGAGGCCGCGGCTCAGCTCGAAAAGTCTTCGTCTTCGCAGTCTTCGTCCCCCGTCTCCTGGTGTTAGTAAAGCAACCTATGCCTCTCGTCTCTCTTCTCTCCTCGGCGTTCCTCATATTGTCACTGGTGATCTTGTTCGTGAAGAGCTCTCCTCCTCTGGCCTCATCTCCTCTCAGGTTAGAATTTCTCAATTGGCAATTAATTGTGTAGCCTGTGTGGTTCTATTTGTTATGCTCTGTGAAGAACACATAGAGATCAATAGATTCTAAGATTTTGAGATTTTAATTTGTGTGTTCGATGATCTTGAATTGAGTTTGCTTAGAAAATTGATCTCAGTGAAACCTTGCTTGATGTTGAATTTTGGTTGTTATAGGTCATCAGATTTTTCCTTTGAAATGAGAATTCTTTTGGTATAAGGAGGATCAACATGATATATATATATCGTGTGTAGAACTAGAACAGGGGTTGAATCATTGAGTTATGTGATCAGCCATCACATGTGTTTTTAATTGTGTGTTCGATGATCTTGAATTAGTTTACTATATGTTAGAGACATTGTGTTTTAGCACCAAATTCCTTTAGCGTGACTCTTAATATTGATTACAGTTGCTGGAAGATAACTGTATATATGGAGAGTTTTGTGATTAACTATAACAGATGTTTTTAGATGCTTTAGTTCGCCCTCACCTCTGTGGTTACCACATGTAATGCTGGCGTTAATAGTTTCAAGGGCAAGCAAGGCAAATCATCCGGGAAGAGAATACTAGTTATGAGAACCAATGGTTCTTAAGGGCAAGGGGAAGCAAGGCAAAATTTTGATTTTTTTTTTTCTTAAAAACCAATAGGTTCTTAACCATTGGAAGACAAATTTCTTAAGATCCTTCCATTTTTTTCTTAAGGCAAAATTTTAATTTAAAAAATTGTTAATCAATTAGGTTAATTAATGAAACCTAAAACGACGTCGCTGTGAGGGCTCTCGTCTTCTCCACCTTTTTTTTTTGGGTGAAACTCTCTCGCTCTCGGCGGTCTCTGTGTCTTTTGCTTGAGCAAAGCTTTAGCGTGAGTTAATATAATCTCTTACCTTCTTCTATGTAATATTGTACGGTTTCTGGAATTGCATCTGATTGTGAGTACTTGGTCTGAAATTTGATCAACTATTGAATTCGATAATGCTGTTCAATAGCCTGAGCTGGGTTTTACTCACCACTCTACTCTCTACTTATTGAAGCTGGAAATTGAAAGTGTTTGGTTATATGTTGAAACTTTTTGCAAGTTCTCTTATTTCAATTGTCATCAATCTCCACTGAGAAAGTTGGAGTTTTTCGTCTCGGTTTTATCCCCATTTCTTAAAATTTGAGCTAATGATGTTAATCAGGCTCAAGTAATAGAGAAAGATTATGGATTCAGATGCATGGGAAATCATCCATATACCTGAAAAGCCTGCATTGTCACCTGACCATCAGCCCACTGGTAATGATTCAATCTCAAAGGCCTCTCCTTTTGGATTTTTAGTCTATCAAAGGTTCTTTATATAAACTTCTTCTTGTGTGTGTGTGTGTTGTTGTTGTTCACAGTAAAGGTATATGCGAGTCTAATCAAACCCAAATTTGCCAATACGATAGTCAGGTTTGTCATTCTTGTTTCGACTTTATAGTTTTAATCTCTTACTCAGTTTTCTTCGACTTTTCAGTTGTAATCTCATGCTTAGTTTTTTTCCAACTCTACACTTAAATGAGTGGATTTTGACTTTGGTATGATTAGGCATTTATGTAAGATTGCTCCTCTAGAAGATCTTCGCCATGTTAAAAGGGTGAAGAAGAAGATTCTTCCAGATCGCGGTATCCCGTTGTTAGTTTTCTTGGCGCTGTGATGCACCAAACATAACATTATGAGGTTTTGATTGCAAGCTTATTGGACAGGTGAAACTCAGTTGACTGTCATCTTATGTCTAGCACCTGAGCACCACGATCATTTGAACAATATGCCACCTGATGTGCAGAAACTCGTTGATCCCTATGAGTTGAGTCCTTTTATTACACAAGTAGGTTTCTTTTCTCTTTTCTCACCACAATTTACTTCAAGGATTTTGTACATTTTGATTCCAAGTCAAAGATTTCTTTCTTCTCATTCAATTATATTTTCAGTGGAATCTCATATTTTCATGCAATAACTATGATAGGTATGCAAATATGCTGCGGTATCAAAAGAAGAGTGGGAAGAACAGAGTAAGATATGGCCAACTTCTTTTCATCCCCCAACCTAGTAAGCTCCATGCCTTTTTGTTAGCTTTTTGGTTTCTTGGATCTTTTTTGTAACCAAAGGAGTCTACATTATCTTTCTTGTCTTTTTAATATCTAAGCTTTAGTCGTTCTAGAATAATCCTACTTCTTGATGATTTCTATTAGTTCTCTTATTTGCATTGATAGCAATATATGTCTTTGTTTATAGTGCAGCAGTCAATGATTTTTTACTTTTTGCATTTGGCAATGACAGCAATATAGATGGCATCGGTGGGTTCAGCGAGGAGGATACACAATCGATCTGCAAGTTCATGAGAGTTGTTATTGATATGGCAGTATCTGGTCATAAACCAGTAAGTATTTTCCATTGATCTACATAACATCGATATGAAGTTTTAAACAATAGACCGGAGTCTCCTAATCATCTGTTTTCATTTTTCACACACCATTCGCTTTTTTTAGCTCCTCAATCCTTTTTCTCTTGGCAGTAAGATTTACCACGGATTCATTACATAGAAAAGGATCTCAATTTACCACATTTCTAATGTACTTTTCAGCTTGTAAATGCTGCAGTGATAGTTGATCCTTCAGTTAGGCGAATAATAGCTAGTGAAACTGATCAAGTATATGCATCATCTGCTCCTCGCGACAATACTAGCGCAGGGACCAGGCCCTTCAAGGAAACAGGGGAAATATGCTTAAATGGCATACTTGAAAAACAGAATGGTTCATTGTCTGCTGTTGCTTGTCTAAATCCCTGGCAATGGAGTTTGCAGCCGCATGACACTGAAAATTGTAGCCAATGGCATCCTCTTAGGCATGCTTCCATGGTTGCCATTGAATCTTCTTCGGCCAGAGATAGACATCTGTTTCCCAATTCATCCGAGAGTTTTCGTCCGGATCATGTTCAGCCCTCAAATACAGATTCTCCGGCTAAAAAGCAGAAAACAAGCAGTCAGAGTCCATACGTAAGTTCATTCCAACCAAGGTTTTTTAATTTCCTCGACGTGCTTTGACTAGTACAGCGTTCTCTCTTACACTTCTGAGTTACCGATAGGTCCAAATTGACAGTGGAGAAGAGACTCTTAGAGATCCTTCAATGGAAAGGCCGTACCTCTGCACTGGTTATGATATTTTCCTCCTGTTGGAGCCTTGTACAATGTGAGTTTCTACATACATTACCCTCCTTTTTTTTTTTTTTTTTTTTTTCCTCACATACATTACCCTCCTAACATCCGCAAGTTTGTGTATCTAATAAAGTCGTGATATGTTCCCAAGGTGTGCTATGGCGCTTGTGCATCAAAGAATAAAACGAATTTTCTATGCTTTTCCAAACCCCACGGCAGGTGGTCTCGGGAGTGTTCATAGACTTCAAGGGGAAAAGAGTTTGAACCATCATTATGCAGTGTTTAGAGTTTTGCTGCCTGATGACGCACTTAGACAAATGACCACGGTCTAACGCATTGTTGTAGTCGATCGATAATTGTATTACGGGTTCTGGGTGAGAAAGCTGATTCTTTGTTCTTGTTCTTTCCAAGAATCTGGAATCTTATTGAGTTATTACCGTGTATCAAGGGCTCAGTACTCTGTAGTCAGAAACTTGTGTTTTAGTGAAACAACATAAAGAAAAGATCATATAAAAGGAAAAAACAGAGTGCAATCACTAGGAATGAGCAAGAAACCATCCTACTTACTGTAGTATCAGGCCCACATGAAATAATTCTTGCACTGCGCTCTCTCAATCTAACAACAGAGGATTGACGATTGCCGCCATTCGAAAATCGTCGTTAGCTGAAAGACAAAAGAGGTTGTTATGAGGTAATTGGTGACAATCTCAAACTTGGTTTTCAAAGTTATTAGCTCATATTAGACCTCGGCATAATAACCGGATCCATAGAACCGAACCGAAAAAAGAGGGTTTGGTTCGGTTATGGATAGTAGTAAATGTTCTAATGGATGTCAAACATGTTAGATTGACATAATAGTAGTAAATGTTCTAATGGATATCGGAACCGAACCGATATCCATGGATAACCGGTAAGAACCGAAAAAGTAGGAGAGAGAGTAGACGCGTTTCTGGTTTGAGAAACTGTGTCTCCACTTGTCTTTATATTATTGGCCAAATTTTCTTTTTATAATTTATAATTCAAATAAATAATTTATTTATTATAAAATGATTAAAATAATATTTTTGAGACACCCACAGTGTCTGAAGGATGAAGATGGTCTAACATTTACGAGAGAAAACACGTCCAGGTGTAGAAGAATTTGACCAGCTTGCAGAATCACGCAACGTTGAAGCTCTAACTTTCTCTTCCAAGAGTGGCTTACTATGGTCGCAAAGGCTCCGGCTTTAATGGAAAAATAAACAAAGCAAAACCTAGAGAGTTTATTTGAGAGAAATATGTTGGAGAATTTGAAATTTTTGAGAAAATCGCTGAATTAGAGTAAACCTTGAGAGCAAAGTGCGAGCTTGCTTCATTAACTTCTACACAATTCCGAGAGAAACGATTAAATCGTCATTTTGGATTACTTATCGTCACTATGAGTCGTAAAATGCGTAAATCTTTAATTTTATTTCATGCTTACATCGAAAAAAAACG